AAAAAAAAAAAAAGAAAGCAAGAAAAAGCGGCAACGAAAGAAACAAGAAAAAGAAAACATGAAACGGAATACGTAGGCAGAAAGAAAAAAAAAGTGATGAGAAGAAACAGGGGTAAAAATAGAACAGCACAGCAAGACGATCGCTAGTAATGCATAGAATCCTTATCTAACCACAATCAGAGACGGAACTAGGAGAGCACGATGCCCCGGCGACACTAGACCTCAACAAGAAAGGAAAGGCACAGGCTATGAGGCAATGGGAGGTCGTCATATTGGGATCAACAACAAATTTGCCGCTTTTCCATGAGGCAAACAAGAAAAAAGAAAAAGAAGAAAACGGCGAACAAAGTGAACACGAAGCGAAGGCGAAAAATTGAAGAAAAACAATAATGAGTATGAAACTGAAACAAAGGCGGACTAATAGGGAAAGATAAGGCGTTAGACCAAGGCGGAAGGGGGGAAGTAAACATAGCATCAAAAAATAAAAAATAAAAAATAAGAATGAACACTGAAAGAAATTGAATTTTTGAAACCGAAGAAAAAGGCAGAGAGAAAGTCATAGCTTAGGCCAGGCTATACCCACAGGCCTCGGTTCACTGAGAGCCGTAGTAGACACTGCCTTGAGACTGAGGATAGTAGTACGTTGTACCAGGGGGCGTCATCATGCCGCCCATGCCCATGACACCGCCGGCCCCGGGCGCATTCGGCATCCCATAGGAGGAGTTTTGATACATCTGGTTAGCATCGTAGAAATACACCGTACCGCCTGCTTCGTGTGCCACTGTGCCCGGTTGAGCCGGTTGCTCACCCGACGTGTGCGCACCGGGCACCATATACGGCACCTGCTGCCCCGGGGGGAAGGGAGGCACAGAGGTGCCGGGTCCCACTGCTGCATTGTATGGGGGGAACTCGGTCCCGGTGACAGAATAGTACATGGCGCCAGGTGGGTAAGAATTGGGATAGAATGCTTGTGGCTGTTGATAACCATATGGCTGGAAGGGTTGGGCATGGATTGCACGCTCGGGTATGTGGGATAAGGGTGTCACCGACGAGTGAGCCGAAGCAGCATAGCCGGGCGCATCTGAGCCATAGACGGGCCCAGTTCCAGGCATTGGGACCTGATGATGGAACGGCTGCTCCTGCTGCGGCTGAGGAGGATTAAATGGAAAGCTTGCTGGGGTCTCAATGTCGGCAACAGAGACGGCCTTTTGTGGACGAGGTTGGTGCATCGGGATGGGCGCCGGACGGCTCTCCCGGAACACTGGAGGTTGAGGCTGTGGTTGAAGAGGAGGAACTGCTGATGGAGGGCCGGGTGGCGGGGGTGGTAGTCCGGCTGTTGGTCTTGGAGGTGGAGGTAAACGGACAACGGGCTTACCATTGTCTGTGGCCACGATCGTCTGCCTGGAGAGGACCGAGGCGGCCGGCGAGTGGTATCCTTCTTGGGAGGGCGCCTTGCCGAAGGACGACCTCCTACTGATGCTAACGCTTGGAGTGTATGTGGAACCTGCATAGATACTAGGCCGACGTCCTGGGAAGAATCCGCTTCGACGCCCACGGAAGGCCTGTTGATTAGGCCGGAGCGCCCGCGGGATGAAGATGAAAGATCGCTCTGTCGCGGGGAAGATATATCGCGCAGGCTGCCCGGGAAGCGAGATTCGGACGGGCTTATCGCGGCGCAGAGGAGGACGGTGTTGTGGTAAACGGGTGTGTTGCTTCTTTGGAACATTAGGGTATGAGATAGGCTGAGCCATGCCCGGTAAATAGACCACGACAGGCACGTTCCCTATCATTGTAGTACTCGAGAACGACCTATTGGGCGGGGACGATCGAGGAGCTGTAGGGACTGGCTTCGGGGGATAGGTTGGGACAGTCGCAGGCACCGCAGGCACTTTCGAGACGGGTGCATCATCTCCAGCAACAGTATCATGCAGATCGTGCGTCCACTTGTTTTCACTGGCATCTGAATTGACCTGGTTCCTGCAAGCTGTTAGCGTGGATGTTCGGATTGCTTCAACAGTGAAAGAGCTAGAGGGTTGGTTCAAGCGTACTTGCGCACATTGCCGTCCACGATGAGACCGTATGGTCTCGACTTGGACTTGGCAAATGGTTTGTGACCGTTGGCCGCATTATCGGTCGAACGTTTGTCGTGAAGGAAGAAGCTTCCTCGGGTGGGCACGAACGCTGGGTTCTCTTCCTTTTCCTTTGTATACTTCTCATTGTCACGACGCCTCCTCTCCGTCAGGCTGTCTTGTTTTGGCTCTGCCGGAGGCGCCGACGGAGTTCTCCCAGTCTGTTGGCCAAGCTCCCCCTTCAGATCATCAAAGTGGATTTCGGCCACCCCAGTCGTCTTGTCCGACAGACTCATCCCGTTCATCATCGCTTCTGTATCTGACATGACCGTTCCCGTGTGGCGTTTCCCGGGCGAGGTAGAATGGCGGCGCCCGAGCTTCTGGCTTCCTGCGGGCGTACGACCGTTGAGCTGGGGAAGGTGAGTATTGCCCGCATCCCGGGTCACAGACGCCTCGTCATCACTCTCATCACTGCCCTCGCCATCGGCATCCTCCTCGTCGGGATGGCTGATAATGGACCCTTCGCTTAGGGAGTCGTCCTCCAATTCTCCATCTAGTGAGCCCTCATCTTCGCCCTCTTCGTCTCTTCTTCGGCGGCGACTAGCACCGATATTGTGTCGTCGTGGAGCCATGGAAAAAGGAATGAAATTAAGAAGCAGAAGGTCACGGTAAAGGTCGGAATCGAGGTAAGCTGGGGTGGATCGTGGTGGTGGGAAAGGGCGTCAAAGTGCACCGACCAGTAGCGGCGAGAGCGGCGGGTTGCAAGACACAGGATGGGTAGAGAAGTAAGGTAGCTAGTAGGTCTAGATAGGAAGAAGCCCGCAAGCAACACGTTCCCGAGAACCGAATAGACAAAGGTAGAAGAATAGAGAGAAAAGCACGAGGACCAGAGCAAGAGGGTGCACCTCAGGACTGAGGGCAGGGAGTGTTGAACGGATGGACGAACTGGGGAGATTTGGTGGTTTTGAGCATGAGCCATGACATGCTCTTTCGATGTCAACCGCCTCAATCCGGTTAGCGTCCTCCCCAAACCACTTCAGGGATTCTAGAACTGCGGTTTATCTACTTTTAGTTGTTAACGCCAGCTGATCGTCCATCAGAGCTCCTCCATTTTGCTTTTGAGAACTCCATATGACACTTGATTTTCAGCAAACATGGTCACTCTCCGACATTATACTTTTCAACCAAACAGACTCCCGGTTCCCAGTCAAGGTCAGGGTATGTCGACATCCTGAGCATTACTACCATTGACGCCCGTTAACTCTGCCCGTCCACTCACGTTGCCTCGTTCTGTTTACCCTGACTAAGCCGCCTGGCAGCATCGGCCTTAGTGTACCTGTACCCATTTTGGCGCAATAGGCAGGGACATGGTTCATGTACCAGTACATCGCAGAGTTCTACTAGCAGTAACTGACCGGTCTATGCTACCCACGTCGGGGCCTTATGTGATACGCGGCGCCAGGGCTTACAATGCGGACTGGAGGAAATGGCTAATCAGATCGTTGATTACAATAATGCTTCATGGCATACATATATTGTATACAAAGAATTCGGTTGGGTATCAAGGTACTGAGGACTTGAATCCTCAATGCTTCTATAGCGCCGTCCACGGCCGTCTTGATCCTCGACCGACGGGGCATGAAGTCCATGCAAGGATGGAACAACTCATGTCACAACTCACTATGACAACGATCTCACATCAACAAGATTACAGAGCCGGGCATTGGGGGGGCTCCGACTTTGCACCCAGTAAGGAGATCTGGTTTGGTTCTGTATGGGCGATGGCTTCGTCTGTTCTTCCGAAATGCGCACAGGTTGTTCAAGGCGCGCGAACCCTCCTTAATCAAAGGTGATCTTCTTTCCTTGAGCTTCAACAATGGCTCCACTGAGCTTCTGAACAGTATCTTGATCGTATCTGGTATAATCCGGCTTTCCTTGCCTAGCCTTGCCCGGTCGCGACTGGCGAGACTGCTCACCCGCCGAGTTGTTCTCTGCAGGCTCAACCTCGCTGATGTCTGAGGTATTGTTCTTCTTGCCTTCGCCGTCCTTACCGAATCGCTTCTTATAGCGCGTCGTGGCATCTTCGGCAAATTCCATGCGCATCCGCCTACCGAGGAGGTTGTTCACCCACACCCTCTTCTGTCGCGGCTTCTTGGACTTTTTGCGGCTTTCGGTGTCGGACTCTTCATCCTCTTCATCATCCTCCTTAACCAGCACGTAGCCCTTCACCGCTGCTTCGGCTGCTGCAAGATCCTCAAACACTACCCAAGCATAACCCTTGCATTTGCCGGAGTCTTGGAATGTTGCCACATGTACGTTTGCGATAGTCCCACATTGAGAGAAGTGCTCTTCGATGAGCTCCTTCGTAGCGTCGAAGCCGAGGTTGCCGACAAATATCCGCTTTGACGGGGGATTTCCAGATGCTGCCCCCGAATTGGCGTTCTGACCCTCTCCTTGAGGCTTCTCTGGCCTACCAGAGAAGTTCTTTGCATCTTTGATGAGCACACGACGTCCGGTGAGAAGCTGTTCACTGAGGCCCATTGCCTCCTGGCAGGCCTTCTGCGTGGAGAAATCGACGTAAGCGAATCCTTTGTTCTGGGCTTTCCCATGCTTATCACCAGACTTGGGCATGTGAATTCTCGTGATGGTCGTATCTGTAAAGGAGCAGTTGGTCGTAAAGAACTTGCGCACGTCATCTTTCGTCGCGAAGAATGGCAGGTTTCCGATCCAGATACCAAAATCGGAGCGCTTCTGAGTGGCAGCTTTGTCATTGTCTACAGGGGTCTCCTCTGTTTTCTTCTCTGTAGTGGTATCCGAGGGGCCTTCTGCAGCCTTCTTCTTGAGCTTTCGCAACGCCTTCTTTGAGGGAGGCTCGGGGGCAGAAACGTCAATCTCGATCTCGGGGACATCTGGAAGCTTGCGCTTCTTGTGGTTTTCCTCACCTACGCCAGCCATGGTGTAGTACGCGAAGGAATAAAGAATAAAGACTATACTTCACAGAGATAGAGGAATAAAGCCAATGGGAGGGAAAGAGAAACTTCACTTGGAAGAGAAGTCTCAGCGGCAATCACTGATAGCGGAGGGAAACTTTTTTTTACGGCGGGCAGAAACTCTCCGCCTCAACACCAGATCCTCCAGATCGGCGGACCGCTTAAACGTGACCGGCCCAAACACGGCCATCTCGAGCCTCACTCAGCCTTCGCTTCTGTCCGCCCCTTTCACCCGTTCACGACTCTGCAACTTGAAGCGCCATCCAGGTTTCTGGTCGTTTACTTTGCTCGTTTGTCACGATGTCGCATACCATTGATGATACTCATTCCGTGACTGAAAGTCTACCGGATGCCCCCGGGGGCGCCCCTACGAAGCAATCCTACCGATCATTCAAGTGAGTGATCCCCTGAAAGCCTGGGGCGGCGCGTTGCTAATTCGACCGATCTACCATCCAGGAAGAAGTTTGCGAAGCTTAAGGTCAAGTTTGAGCTTCAAATGCGAGAGAGCGAGTCCCTCATCCGCGAAGGGTTGCGTATCGAGGATCTGTCCAAGAGGATTCAGGCACAGAATGAGTATGTTGCGCGCCCACGTCTATGACTTCTCGGTCGCTTACAATTGATCAACCCGCAGTCAGCTCCTAGAAGTCCTGCTAGAGTTCAACGATAGTCTCCATGTGTCTCCAAGCATGCGGTACGATCTGAGCGCGCCGGAAGATGAATCCTTCTTACCACCACCCGAGCGAGACATTCCGAAATCGTACAATGACCCTGTCGTAGCGAGCTCTGTTTTACAAGAAGCCAAGGCCAGACTGGCTGCTGGACGTTTGTCCAGTGATGCTTATCGTGAGGTGGAGGATGATGTTAAGCGCGGTCAGGCTTTTGCACCGCGTATGCAGTACAGCACTCTGTCGACATTCCCCCATTCTGCGCCTTTGCAGCCAGACAATCCCGACGACTGGAATCCCGCGCAAGAACTTGGGTTTCTTACTCCCGAATATGAGACCGAATACTGCCTGGCTCTAGATGCTAAACTGGGCGACGACGAGGCTCTGGAGCAGCTCGAGTGCGTTCCTAAGAAGCCATCACTAGCGGAACGCGAGAGAGAGGCCGCTCTTCGGAGCCATGTCTCTGTACACAATTGGTTGCGCCAGAACCAACCCCAAATATTCTTGCAGGATAACGAGAACGCCTCGGAAAAGTCCGGCTCTCGACCCTCCAATCTACGCACTTCTAAGAGGGCGCCGGCTCAATCACGCAAAGAGGAGGATGTGTATGATGATGACAGTATCCTGGAAACTGCGTCAACCTCTGGAGGTACGAGAGGCAAGCGCAAGCGCGATGAAGATACCGGATATCGACCCAAGGGCGGTAGCAGTCGCTCAAACCGGAAGAAGAAGGATGAGGAAAATGCGACCCCCAAACGGCCGTCGAAGCGGTCTTCGGGCGTCGGTGCCTGAGATTGGCCATCGATAATACCGGATCTTTTCCTTGTGTATCAATACAGACTTTCCTTTCACACTCTTTTTTTTTTTTTTTTGCCATTCATGTTTGCAATTCCTATCAGACCACGGCGGATAGTGATGTCTTTCCAATACGGGAGCGGACAAGCATGCTACACTTTGAAGGTGTTACCCAAATGGCTTTCTCCAATTTGCACTTATAAATTTCCTATATTCACGTATTTATCTGTTTCCTTGCTGTACTATGTGTCGGAGCGGCGGCGTCACCACTCACTCCCGCCTATGCTGCCATTATGCTTTGATATGCTTCAACAATAGTTACTTGAACACGATAGCTAGAAGTCGTGAATCATAGGTGAAAGCGGTCATATCATACCCAATAAATATACAAAACAGACTAGTAGGAGTATAACAATGCTAGTGTTGCTCTTCTCCCGGATTGGGAATGCGGCTTCACGTGCGTCTCCACCAGCGGTTTGCCTGGTTTGCTTGGCATGCCGAAAGTCTTGTCCGACTGCAGCTCCAATACTCCGATTTTCACCAAACGCCCTCAATCGGAAGTCAATAGAATCGACTGCTCGGCCACTAATATTCCCCGGAGCGGCAAACAGACCTCTATATTATGGCCATTACTATTCTCCCTCCGGTTGTGGAGGATGTCGACGTTCCCTACTCCGACTCGGAGGACGATGCCATGTCCGTGGATTCGGATGGAGGAGTAGATCTCGCAGCGGGAGATGCCACAAGACCTAGCAAGCGTCCTCGCTTAGTGGAAGGAACGAATATTGGCGCAGGAGTCCTCACACCGGGTGAGATCGTAACAGATGACCCGCAATGGATGAGGTTGGTTTGGCCCAACTGCTATATAAGCTCAACGCGCAATTGATTGACACTTGACCGCAGAGGACACGGCACATACACTAACCCACTATCTACCTCCATCATTGCTACCGTCGCCGGTACGGTTCAGAAGACCAACAAATTGCTCTCCGTGCAGCCCCTCCGGGCTCGTTATACGCCTGAGATCGGTGACTTGGTGGTGGGGCGTATTGTCGAGGTGCAGTCTCGGCGATGGAAGGTTGACGTCGCTGCTCCCCTTCTCGCACAGCTTCCTCTCTCCGCTATCAACTTGCCTGGTGGTATCCTGCGTCGACGAACGAGCGCCGATGAACTACAAATCCGAACCTTCTTCAGCGAGGGTGACCTCGTCGTTGCTGAAGTCCAGACGGTACATTCCGACGGAGGCGCATCGTTGCACACCCGGTCGCTGAAGTATGGTAAATTGAGGAATGGCGTGTTCCTTGCGGTGACGGGGACAGGTGGCAGTGGTGCGTCTAGCTCGTCAGTCAAAGGTACTTCTGGGGCGAGTGCTACGGGCGCGGGAGCCGGAGGTGCAGCGGGTGCTGGTGGAGTGGTTCGGTCGCGCAGACAGGTCTGGACGATCAATACAGCCAATGGGGGTGGGGATGTAGATGTGATTTTGGGAGTTAATGGGTACATCTGGATTTCGAAGCACGCCGACGGAGCGGCTGCTGCATCGTCGACGACGGAAAACGTGTCAATCACGCGCATGGAGGAGATGGTGTCGAGCTCCATTTACTCGAGTCAGAACGATGATATTCCGCCACAGACGCGTCGGGAGATCGCCCGGTTGGCGCAGTGCATTCGGGTGCTTGTCAACGGAGGAGTCCGGGTGGACGAGGAGACGGTGATGGGAGCCTATGAAGCCAGCTTACAGGTGGATCTAGAAGTGGGCGATGAGGAAGATGATGAAGATCGGGGCAAGGAGGGACGAGAATATCTGGAGGGCGACAAGGCTCGCCGAATTCTAGATTTGGTGCTACAACAACTATAGGTTTGGATGGCATTTTCGAACCTTTCGATAGTAATTCTCGTGAGAATAGATACCCCGGCAATGGATAAACATTCCTGCCTCAGCAATGGTGTGTAGTAGAGTTCCATTGGAACAACTAATAAATTAGCATCTTCTTCTGTGGTCCTCCATCTTGTGATGCCTTCAACTTTTGCCTTTTTGGGGCTGATAAGCAAGACCCCGCATCACGTGGCGATAACAAGGCTGATTATTGGCAGATCCAAAGAGACATCATCAGCAGAATAACAGGAGAGGTATGCAAGTAAAGTAGATCAGAAGATAAGAAACTAAGAGTAACCAACCAAGCAGAAGAGTAACACAAAACAACTCGGGGATCCGAGCGAGGGTGGCGTTGATCAGGAGGAGGGGGCGTGACCAGTTGGCTGCCGCACAATTAATACATTCTGGTGTTATTCTTGTTTCTTTAACTCTTTCTTTCTTCTTACCTTCAACCCAATACTCTTCATCGACCCATTGGGGATTTCCATCAACACCCTTGTTCTGTTCCAGCCTTACCATGTCCTTCGTCTCAGAATCACTCTTTCTACTGTCTACCATCACGTTTACCATACCCTCAGTATAGCCGCCCGGGTTGTGCCGGTTGCACTTGGTGTTGCCTTGCTTCTACAAGTTATACTTGTTTCTACATTCCGGTTTCCCTCTGGCTTATTCATAGTAGTAAATTCTCGGATACATTATCCCGCATTCTCCCCCGTGAAAATTCTTCCTGCACTTAGCAATCTCCTCTTTGCAATCACCTCTCAGCTGGTCGACATTGGGCGTATCCATCATGCCAGACCTGCGCCGTCAAGTATTGGAGAGTGGCAAAACCATCTCTCGCAAAGCTGCTTCCCGCGAAGGCTCTCGACGTACTTCGCGCGCCAACTCTACCCAGAATTCCCGCCATTCCTCTCAGAATCAAAGTCGACATGCCTCAGACGAGGAAGATCTTGACAGTCTAAGCGATGACACGGCCATGAGGTGAGCATTCCATGATCACTGCTTTCTCCCCCTCCAATTTATTTTTCTCTTTGGTTTCCCCCCCAAAACGGAATGATGTCATCGTCGTCCGTTCCCTCTGTGTGCTCCGTTACTAATGCGTGTTTTACGACCCAGCATTGGCTCGTTGGACGATCTAACCGATAACCCCGATCTGGACAACCATGACTGGGTTGAGGAGCTTGGGGACGTCATCGAAGATATTCTGGACCGCAAACGCAGCAGCAATTTGAGTCGCGAAGAGGCTTACGCTGCGTTTTGCCGACTAGCCAAATATCACTATGTCGAGGAACAAATTCGCGGTCGCGTTCTGGACTTGGTAGCGGCATTCAACCGCAGTATCAAGTTCGAGACCAGTGTGCGCGAAACCACTCTGGCGCTCCGTGCTGTCGAGCTCCTCGCCATTTCAGCCTACGATAATACCATCTACGAACATGTCGAGCCCTTGTTGACTCGCACCGTGCGAGATTCAACCTCTAACACGGTCAAGGCAGCAGCGATTCACTGTCTGGGCGTCTGCACCATCCATGCAGGCGCTAGCGAAGATGGGATTCTCGACCAGATGACGTTTTTCTTGGACATTGCTGCCTCGGACGGGCAGTCGATCGGTGCCGGGGACGACGCAGCCAGCGTCGTTGCTGCTCTGCAAGAATGGGGCGTGCTTGCGACCTATATCGATGATCTTGAAGGCGAAAGCGAGGATGCCGTGCAGATCTTCATGGACCAGCTGAACAGTGGCGATTCTGCGGTCCAGATTGCTGCCGGCGAGAACATTGCGCTCTTGTACGAGAAGAGTTATACTCCACAGGAGGACGATGAGGACGACGAGGACGACGAGGAAGAATCGGAAGAGGAAACCTTCTTGTCCGGAGGTCGCGGCAACGGCCCCAAGTTGATCAAGCGCTACAACGCCTACCACAACACGCACGAGCTCGAACAGCAACTCCATTCGCTGGCCAAAGTCCACAGCAAACGGATCAGCAAACGCGATAAGAAGAGTCTACACAGCAACTTCGCCTCCATCCTTACGACGGTGGAGAATCCCCGTCGGGGACCCATGTACAACACCGCTATCGACCAGGACACCAACCGCCACTACGGCAGCAAGCTGACGGTCAAGATTGGCCGACAGGGCGTGATGAACATCGATCGCTGGTGGAAATGGACGCGGCTGAGCTCGCTTCGACGCACCCTGCAGGGCGGCTTCGCAGCGCACTACTATCAAGGCAACCGCGCCGTGCTGGAAAGCCTTCCTGTGATCATGCGCATGGACACGCCGTCGGACCGAGGGTATGCCAAGCGCACGGCCAAACATCGGGATAGTCGTCGGTGGGCGGTCCACGAGGCCTCGGACGAGGACTAGACATGTGATGAGTTCATCGTTCGTTTTACTGGTTTTTGAGTTTGATTCCCTGTTGCGTTAGATTTATGGCAGCGTTTGTTTTGATGTTTTCCTATCTTTGTGCTGTTGTCTTCGATTCCCGTTTCTAGAACACACACTCGCCGCTGCTAGCAGTGTGATTAGAAACGAACAAAAGCATACATACATCCATACATACTTGACAATAACTATGTATAGGAAAAATTCTCAGTTATTGCTATATGCCCTTTCAATATAAGTAATGTTTCTTGACTATGTTACACATTACATACACTACTATCTCTGTATGATCTCAATCCATACCGTCATCAATAGTAACACCTAATTTCAAAATACTCGAACCACATCTCGAACGTAAACATCTCAATTAGAACAATAGTAATTGAGCTATCTTACTTCAAGCTTTGAATGAGACAGTGAGTGAATAATTCATAAATTGATAAATGTACACCGAGTGTAATAAGTTGAGTAGAAATCCACTACCTCCCTCCTACCCTATCCTCTATAGTATACCACTCACCAACACACTCCCGCTATACCTAACTAATACCTGTCTAGTAATAAACCCACCCCATATGAGATAAATCCCGCAATATAAAGACCCTAACAGATTACTTCGTAAAAACCGGCACCACGCCCGTCCAGGCGCCCTTACTCCGTTCCTCCCAGTATCCATCCTTCCCAGACTTCAGTCGCCATACGGATGCATCTCCCGATGCGTCATCTACGGGTGTGAACCACCGCGGTGTCCAGGACTCGCCTGCGGCTTCCATCTCGCGACGACGCGCGCGCTGGCCTTCTTCCAACTGGACCTTGACTGCTTCGGCTTGGTCGACGTCGCCGTCTTCGAGGGCGCGCTGGTCCGGACGGAGTCGTGAGTCGGTGACGGGGAGTTTGCCGTCCTCGATAGAGGTGACCTCGTTCAAGGTCGCCGCGAAGGCTGTGAGACCGTAGTGTTTGGGCGCGTTGGGGACCAGGGGTCCGGCACTCCAGATGGTTCCCGAGGGGTTGCCGTTCTTAGTGAGGTCGAGGGAGGAGGTCCAGGTGCCGGTGAGACCGAGGGGCAGGTCACGGCCGGAGGGGTCCGTGGATTTGGTGGTGACTTCTTCGCTGCGGCCGGAGAACATGCCGCCGGCTTTGAAGGTGGTTAGGGAACGGTGGCCGGTGGTTTCGTTCACCACGACCATTTCGCCGACGGGTTCGACGTATTTCTCGCCGGCGATGATGTTGCGTAGGAACGAGGTGGCCTGGGACCAGCTGAAATGTTCGCCAGTGGTGTGGAGGGTTAGGCGCATCTTGCCTTCGGTGATAATTTCGGCGGATTTACCCCAGAATTTCTGCGTCGGCATGGGGGATTGCGTGAGGCTCCAGTCTTTGCTGTCGGCTTGGTAGGCAAGCTGGACAGGGCGATGCGAAACCTTCTCGGCGATGAAGCGGAAGCCAAGGTCTTCACGGACGAGCTCGTAGGTCTCGCCGAGCATGGGGTTGAACGGTTTGCGAATGGCGCGCTCACGGATCCGGTTGCTGGAGATGGGAGAAAGGGCAAATGCGGTCACGTACATGAGGCGTTCAACGGGGTCGGAGGCGCTGGCGGCGCGGTCGAGCAGAGTGGAGTACTCCAGAACTTCGGCGGCGCGCTGGAGCAGCGACAGGGGCTCGTTGGAGGAAACGGGCATGGAGATTTGCGACAGGTCCTTGCCAACGTTCTTACGGAGGAAGCCAATCAGACTGGGCGGCATGACCGTCGGCGCCGTGATGTTAGCACGACGCTTCACGGGACTGAGTGGGAGCGGCGTGAGCGTTTTGGGTCGGCCGGGGAAGAGCGGCGAGAATTGATCATGTCCAGCAGGCGTCTCGTCAGCCTCATCCTCACTGTCAGAGGGAGCGTCGTCGGCCATAGGTTCTTCTTCTGCCTTGGGTTTCGAGTCCCATACGGTGTGGTCGGAGGCGTTGTCGGCCGCTGCCTCGTCCTCGCTGTCGCCCTTGATTGTGAGAAGCGCATTGCCGTCATCTGCATCGAAGAATTCCTGGGACACGTCGGACTCGAAGCTGCGCCGCACCTGGACGGTCGCGCCCGGAGGGTGTCGTCGCTGCTTGCTTTCGGAGATGAGGGTTGAGAACTCGCTGACGACCTGGTCCAGGTCGCGCAACACGGCCATGAGATGTTCATGGACCTCCTCCATGGGATCCGGGGGGCTGGCGATGCTGCTGGGCTTGCGATCGCCCGCCAGAGACGCAGTCTCAAAGGCGCCCGGAACGGCCAGCTGCGAAGACATGGAGGCCATAGTGGTGGTGCGCTTGACACCGGGCTGCGTGGCCGTACTATTCTTACGCTTCCAGAACGGGCGTTTGGCGTCCCCAGACTCGTCTCCATTCAGATCCGTGGGCGTGCGATGCGGGCTGGGCGAGCGACCGCGCGGTCTCTCCGCGACATTGCCGCCCAGGTACTTGGGATCGGTGTCCTTGGCCAGGCGCCGGACAGCATCGCGCGACCCGGATACCTTGCTCACAAGGCTCTCGACTCGTTCCCATTCCCGTTCCTCAACGGCGTTCGGGACGACACGCTGGGAGGGCACGCGTAACAGGGGTTCGGACGGCAGGG